AGCCGGCGATAATAACTTAAACACACACTGATCCGGAGATGCAACCACACCCCGAGAATCTAGACAGTATCTGCTACGATGCGGCTATAGTTCAGGAACCATGGATAACCCCGGGAAACATTTTATCTTGACTTAAGTTGCCGTCATACTACACATACATTTCGAGTGCAAAAAAGAAGGTAAGAAATATTATACTGGTAAGGAAAAGCATGCATTCATACATTGACCTTAATTTTTCTTCAGATGTCCTGACGATGGTGGCTGCAAAGAATAACAAAGATGAGACATTAATCCTTGCATCTTTTTACATGCCCCATGACGATGAAGCGCTGCCGGCGGAATTCCGGCGGTTGGCAGATGCAGCTGAGAAAGGTGATGCCAATGCGTACAATACGGTATGGGGTAGCAGTGATACCAACGATAGGGGTGAGTCATTATTAAATTTTATACTGATAAGCAATCTAGCTATAGCTAACCGGGGAGAAGAGCCAACATATATGGGTCCGATCTCGAAGAACATTCTAGATGTAAAACTTCACACTATCACAATAATTAATGCTGAAGATTCGGAGGTGCTTCGGAAGCACTCGTTTTCTGACCATAATTATGTAGAATATCAAGTAAAATTCTCAGCCCTCAATAAAAGTGAAAATTTCAGAAATCTTAAGAACACTAACTGGGATTTGTACAGAAAGATAGAAATAGAGAATTTAACTAGACTCAATGTAGGTGATTCAACCTCTAAACTGGAGAAAGGGACCGTCACACCTACAAATATAATGATGAGTTTTGCTGGAGGGAAAATAAGAGACATTCGCAAAACTAAAAGGGAGTCGTGGAAGAGCTTCTGCGGCAAGTTAGAAAAGACAAACGAGGTAGCTGGGCTTAGGAAACTATTGTCCAAGCCCCCGACTACCCTTAGGCTGATTACATCTGTAAACCTATACGAAGGATAGATCCACTGATATTCCACTTAGTGCATGAGGAATATGCCCTGGGCATCTTCTAAGCTGCAGGAATAGTAATGCAAAATGGAACCCAGCCAGATTGCTCAGTTAACGTGAACAGGAACTCTTCAGGGGGATGTACTGTCGCTTCTCCTGTAGTCACTTGAGCTTCTGAGAAAATTTGAAGGAAGAGCACCTAAACTGCAGACAACAGAGCTATACTAGTGACGGGCAAGTTCTTATACACAATTAGCAGCGTAATTAACAGCGCTCTAAAAGTAATACACCAATGGGAAATATCGGCTAGCCTAGAGGTAAATTCCGGTAAGGCGGATATGGTACTATTTAAGTACTATTTAAGTACAAAGGGCCGAGTAATGATGCTATGTGTGGTCAGTTATTAGACTAACTTTATTTGCAAAATTCTTCTCCTTAAATAATATTCTAAGCAATATTGCAATACCGTTCAATACATAATTTCCGCTAAGTACATAGTTTTGTTTTCTGCTAGTGCATATATACATAAGTATGTAAGTTATATAAAAACAGTTCATAAATAGAGAATAATCCAAGTACATACTTTACTCTATTGCTCCTTCGTATATAATGTAGTTATTAACAAAAGAGAAATATAAAAATATGGGAACGCGGCATTGCAAGAGGCTGCTTACATATTAAGCTTAGTACATGTTAAATGGGACTAGCTAATGTGCACAAACAAATATTCATGTAATTGCGTGGACGAAAACATAGCGGTAGCTTAAGTGTACAAAGCAAGCGCAAGCAAGCAATAAATATGTAAGTATGTACACAATGCAAATACAATTATTAACTGCATTGAGGCGAATGACTTCTAATGCTTGCCCCTGAATATTAGGCAAATAAGTAGAGAACAAATAGCAAAAATATATAGAACAATGACCGTATAATGCATTGGTTCTCAATCGGTGACCCAACAATATCCTTTAGAGAACATTCATTTTGAATATAATGTTATACTCTCTGTGACAAAATTATTTTTTCGCGTAGAACTCATTTTTGTGTCGGCGGACCTCGGCCGCGCTTTAAAAATAACCCTGGTCGGTCCAACACCGGGGTGTAATCAGTTTTTTCGCGAAGAACTCTTTTTTTGCACTGGCGGCCTTTGACCGCGCTTCAAAAAAATAATCCTGGTCGATCCAACACCGAGGCGTACAGATTTTTTTTTCGAGTAGACTTCCTTTTTGCAGTGGTGGCCCTAGGCCGCGCTTCAAAATAATAACCCTGGACAATCCAACAACAGGGTTTGTCAAGTGAAGGAAAATTAGGTTAAGGATTATGTTATACCCTCTATGACAATGGTTCTTTTTCGCGTAGAGCTCCTTTTTGCATTGGCGGCCTTCGATTCAAAATAAATAACCCTGGTCGGTCCCACACCGGGGTGTGCCAAGGTTTTTTCTCGCAAAACTTTTTTTTGCGTTGTGGTTGTTGTAACGGTAATCTATTCCCCGCTTGGATGGTAAGTTCCAGTTTGATTGAGATATTTAACATATACATCCCCCCAGTTACATGTTGCCCAACAGGATATCACCCGAACATAAGTGCGCTGCTTCGTTGTGAAAACCGTTTGGTGCTAGGCGACTTTAACACGCACCACGATCTTTGGCATTCCTGCCTGTCAAACGATTGTAGGGGGATGGAGCTGGCGGAACAGATTGATAATTCGACATTCTGCACAATAATTGACGAAGCCGCCACCAGAGTTATGGGCACCTGTAATAGCTCGCCAGATATTACCATCGCTAGCGGTGATCTGATAAATAGCATAACCTGGCGACCTATACTAACTCTCGCATCAGCCCATCTGCCCATAATTATCTCGATCGAGAAACCTCCCGACTTTATTTCTGAGGACAACCGCACCTTTGTTAACTTTAACAAAGCTAACTGGGTCAGCTTCAGAGAATTTAACGGGAGCACCTTCATCGCACTACCCATTCCTACGGACGTCATCGTTGGCAAGCTTCATACCGGCTGGAAGAATCGCGGATCTCCGCCCTAATTTCCCAGCCGAAGCAGCTGTATTAGCCAACGAGCGCGACACCTTACTCCATACCGATCTCGGTGATCCCCGAATAAGGGATCCCAATTTGGAGATTCGACTATTGGTAAATCAACAGAAGCAGATAAAATGGATAGAGCACTTGAAGTCGTAAAGTTCACAGCACCACCACAGCACTTTGCGTCATAAACGCCCGCTCCCTTCAGGGCTGAAGCGGTGGACTATGGACTACCTAAGCGATCGGCATTCATCCGTACCGTTTCGAGGTCAAAACTCCAACCTTAGAAAAATTAAACAGGGGGTTTCGTAGGCTGGTGTTCTCTTCCCGCTACTGTTTAATTTCTACATCTCGAAACTCCCCCAACCACCAGAGGGAATTTCCGTGACCTCGTACGCTGATGACTGCACGATATTGACGTTGGGCAATGGACTCGATGTCATGTGCTTGAAAGTAAACTGCTACTCACCGACCTTTCTCGCTTCTTCTCTGCAAGGAGTCTGACACTCTCCCCCACTAAATTTACAGCGACCATTTTTACGAAGTGGACGAAGGAGTACAGACTGGATCAAGACATTTCAGTCGATGGCACTAAAATTCCGACAGTCAACAACCCTAAAATTTAAGGCTTTACATTAGACAGTCTGTACTTCTTCACTACTCACAAGACCGCGATAACTGCCACATTACAGAGCCCCAACAAAATCCTCATATTGCTTGCCGGCAGCTCTTGGGGAAAAGGCAAAAAACGTTGCTAGCAACATACAAGGCAATCGGCCGGCCGGTCCTACACTATGCCGCTCCGATATGGTCGCCTGGATGTAGTGCAACGCAGACGAAGAAGCTTTAGACTTTTCAAATCACTTAACTCCTGACTATCACGGGATGCCTCTTGATGTTCCCAAAGGAACACCTGCACAGTGAGGCCCGTATGCTTCCGGTTAAGGAACACAACGAGTTCCTTTCCAAGCAGTTTTTGCTGGGATGTTTTCGTAGAAATTCCAAACTATCCGACATTCCAAATATATGTCCTGCGTGCAATGAGTCTTCGCATGATACTAATAACCTCTTTGCATGCCCAACGAACCCCACTCATCTAACACCCATTTCCCTATGGCCCGACCTCGTCGAAACAGCTCGGTTCCTGGGCTTCTCGTTAAATGACCTCACGACAACCAAACTATAACTAATCATCCAAGCGGGGACTAGGTTACCGTTACAACAACAACAGCCGACCGGGGTTATTTTTTTGAAGCGCGGCCGAAGGCTGCCAACGCAAAATTAAGTTCTACACGAAAAGTACCCCAGTGTTAGACCGACCAGGGTTATTTTTTTGGGTCGGCTTTAGTATACCGTCCCAGGCTTTCGGGGATATGGGTATGGGCGGATTGATGAGATCCTTCAGATCAAGAATACATATAAATATAGCCGCGGGAAACTTATAGTTTTCGAGATATCTACGTTTAAAATTGAAAATTTTAACTATTTAAAGAATGCATTTTATCGATTTCAAATGAATTATACTTATATTTTTCACTTTTACATCGACTAACACCTCAGATATTCTTGATCTGGAGGATCTCCTCTATCCGCCCATACCCATTTTATCCACGAAAGCGCGGGACGTTATTCTAAAGCCGACCCCCGAATTATGTTAACTAATGATTTTTTTAGTTTAATGTGATTCGAAAAAATTTACCCAAAATCTCAAGATGTAAAAGAATTCATACCCATTTTTGACCATGATTAGTGTTTGTAGGTAGTAAATTACACAATTAATTACACAAATAACCAAAACAGAAAATGAGCTTTATCCTGTACTCCAATGTAATTTTTTCTGGACATCGCTACTAACTTTATAATTCTTAGTACAAATTGTAATTGTTATAACGAAACAGGATTTAAAAAAAATGTCACAGTGCAAGATATTCACCCAATATATTCTTTATCTACTTATGCATATTAAAAACTTTTCACAAACATAAATAATAGACAACAATTTTATACTAATCACCATACACATACGAACAAATTGTAATTTCCTCTCGTCGAAAAACTACTGTCACTCTACTCACTTAAAGAACAGAGTTGGTATTGACAAATAATTTGCGTTCAGACTAGAGATCAATATTTAATCAATTCAATTGTCACTGGATTGTCTGCGTATTTACAAATATCGCGCAATTCGGTAAGCATTCTGTAGTCACTGTTTTAACGGGATTAACAGAATACAAGATTACAAAAAGTATTTAATATTTTTTGCTTGGTATACGTTGTGACAATTGTTACAAACACAAATAGCATTATAACCGCCACCTTGGTTCGTAAAACTTGTAAATTGCAAACTAAACACTTACGTTAACTATTTCATGTAAAAATTAGTAAAACATTTTCCCGTAACATTATTCAATTAATTACAAGTTTTGTAGTCTCAATTTGTGACATTCACAATATAGTCTCTAATCTTAAGTCACAAAATACTGGCTCAAATTTCTCATTTGGATTGTAAGCAGGACAAAAAATTAGGGGAAACTTTAGTATACCATCCCACGCTTTCAGGGTTAAGAGGGGTACGGTTGGATATTTTCATTTTAAGTTGAAAATTTCACAAATTTTATACAATTTTGTACAATATCTCGATTTATGTTTAACTTTTCTTTTTTATTCATCACTTATTATACGCATACACTTCACTACAATGTTTCTACATATATATTTTGTATTAATTAATTTAATATTTGCTTTAAATTAGGATTTTATTTTTATACAATATCGTTAAATGCACAATAACAAATGGGTTCTATATTGACAGATAAAAAGTGTTGCCATATCCAAACGAATGAAAGCAATCAAAATAAATAAAATACCCAATTACCCTCTATAAAAATAACTTATATGCACAATATTTACCAATTCAATGACAAAACGGACAAAAAAAGAAACGGTACCTTGTTTAGTTGTAATAATATCGGTTATAATTCGTTATAGAAAATGAAATATGTATAATATATTGATATACCCTCTTTAACATTACTGTTATTTGTTCGTTTTCCTATTTGCATCGGCGGCCTTCGGCCGTGCTTCAAAAAAATAACCCTGGCCGATCCAAAACCATGGTGGTCGTTATTCCTTACGCGTCTAACATCTTTCTGCATTGGCGGCCTTCGGCCGCGCTTCAAAAGAATAACACTGGCCTATCCAATATCACGGTTGATCAAGAGAAGGGAACGATTAATATTATGGTTCATGTATTTAGAGTATAATCCTCTGTAATTAATTTTAATTCGTTTGCAAAATATAAATATATATATATATAAAATAGATATGGCAACACTTATTATCTGTCATTATGGAACCCATTTGCTATTGTGCATATAACAAAAATTGTGTTAAAATAAAATGTTTATTTAAAGCAAATATTAAAATAATGAATATAAAATAAATATGTAGAAACATTGTAGTGAAGTGTTAGTGTATAATAAGTGCATAATATAATATAAAACCTTTCTTCAAATGTCAGCAGAAGGGTTTGACAAAGGAAAGGTAATCTCGTCCCAGCCGATGAAGGCTCTAAGTGACGCAATGCCACTGACCCCTCTTCCAAGGGACAGCATTACCAAAACAGTAAGCTTCACTAAGAAGTTCAGGGTTACCCTTAGCAGTAAGACAGAATGGAACGATTCCACGCTGGACATACTGCTAAGGAACAGTACTATCAAGTGGTACATCGACGGCTTGCACCAAGCTCTCCATCCCCATGGGAAGTTTTCCTAGCATATTCCAGGCGGAGGTATATGCTATAAGTCGGTGTGTAGAAATAAACCTCCAACGCGACTACCGCAATAAGAGCATCGCCACACTCAGCGATAGTCAGGCAGCACTTAAAGCAATCTCGGCTTTTGAGGTCAAATCGCTACTTGTGCAGGAGTGTATAGAACGGCTGAACTCATCTGGGTGCCTGGTCACAGGGGTATAGCAAGAAATGAACTTGCTGACGAGTTGGCCCGCTCTGCAGCCTCTACAAACATGGTAGGACCAGAACTGTGCGTAGCGGTTGGTCCACATACCATTAAGGAGCTGCTCCGTACAGAGGAAAGAGCAGGCAGGGAGAGACACTGGCAACATCTCCAAGCCATGCGCCATGCCAAGTTGCTAATGGGGGGTTACAACCTCAGACAAACCGTAGTCAATCTCCCGAGGAACAAATTTCGGATTCTGGTCGGGTTCTACACCGGACATTGCAGGCTTCACAAGCATTTATTTAACATGGGCTTGGTCTCCTCTGCAAACTGCCGGTTCTGCGACATGGATTCGGAAACCCCAGCAGTCTACAGACGTAGAGTCAAGGCCCTGGGATCCATGTTTCCAAACAGGGATCGTATCGCCTCATAGTCACCTAGCAGTATATTGGAGTTCATCAATATGCTAGGGCTAGATGAGTGGCTGTGACTTAGGGGAGGGCACAATAGACCATAGGTCGCGGTGCATACCTCAATCATTATCTATCTATCTATATATATATATAATCGATATGGCAACACTTGTTAGCTGTCAACATGGAACCCATTTGTTATTGTTCATATAACGAAAATTGTGTAAAAATTAAATGCTTATTTAAAGCAAATACTTAAATATTTAATATAAAATAAATATGTAGAAACATTGAAGTGAAGTGTTAGTGTATAATAAGTGCATAATATAATATAAAAGAAAAGTTAACCATAAATCGAGAAATTGTAAAATAAAATTTGTGAATGCAAATGCAAATATCTTGAAAACTATAAGTTTCCGGCGGCTTTAATTATATATATTCGTGATCTGGAGAATCTCCTCTATCCAACCATACCCCTCTTAACACTGAAATCGTGGGATGGTATACCAAAGCCGACCCAAAAATTCATAAGAATTCTTGTTTTCTATATTTTCTATATACCGTTCATTTCACCTATTGAGATTGTCACAAACCATATATTAGTCGATTATCGTTTTACATAATTTATAATGTAAGCAACTCAAGCACGTAAGTAAAAGTTTAAAAAATTAATTTTAAAAAAATTCCATACCTATTTTTATATTGGTAATTATGCTTTTTGACTGCGTTATAGATGATTCAATATATGTTATAAACTTGTGTATTTTAATTCAGGTTCCCTAAATAACGAAATGTAACAGCAGATCTGTTCTGACAAATTACTACTCACAATATAGTCTCTATTCGCTAGTCACAAAATATTTTCTCAAATTTGTTAGCTGACAGTAAGCAGGTCACAAAACTAATAAGAATAATGAGAAGCATCTCTAGGAATGCTATATGCTCCTTTTAAGTGCGTAATTTTTCTGCAAATATAACATTTAATTAAATGCGGGTAAAAAAATAATATATAATTTGTAAGATTTTTTACCTTTGTTTTCCGTTTTACCTTGTAACTCACTCTTGAGTTCAATCACTGGATTGTTAAATAAAAGTCCGAATTTAATGGCTATACACTTATCTTTACTTCTAATTCCAACAACTTAACCCTTTTTGCTCGTTATTCGAGCTTACAACTTCTTGCTTATGTCTCAAAAGCTCTTAACACGACAACACTCTAACTAGAACTGCGTGTGCTGCACAATTTGGCAACCCTTATATAGTAGATCTTTAACAATAGTTTGCCACTAGAACATTCTGGCAACTACGAATTCGCTGTCTAGTTGCTTCTGGCAGTTTATCGTCGATTCGATTTTGTTCATCGTATAAACCTAGATTTATACAATGATTTTGTGTTATCATGCGTGCTCGTCATATCATGTAAGCAACTCAATCAATGTCAAAAAAAAATCTATTTCAAATAAATTTCGTAACTATTGTGATATAAAGTAAACATTTTATTATTATCTAGCTGACCCGGCAAACGTTATTTGCCCTCACTCTATTGTTTCCTCTCTGAACCACCCGGTGCTTCTGATGAAGTCCATCAGTACAAAAAGGTTTATTTGTGCAACCTCTGAAACGTCGTCAAGAAACTTTCGGCCGATAGTTGCAATTATTTTCCTGTAAAGAGCCTTGCCTTCGCATAGAAGATGTTTTAGCGTCTCCTCATTGTCATAGTCATTGTATGGTGCACCTAGTCTTCTTTCATGTCTGCCAATTAGACAGCGAATTGTTAGCATTCCTCTCAAAGTTTTTATGTCATTCCTTGCGAATTTCAATAGTCGGCATATGCAGCCCCGGTCGCATTCATGACACGTTTGTCTGCTTGTTGAGCAAGTCAGTGATTGACTCCACCGAGACTCAGCTAATTTTATTCCATGTTGGTCTATTAAATATCTACAAGTGGTCAGAAGCACATGTATTCGATCTTTTCCGAAGCCCAATTGTAGGGTGGTGCCTGCTCTGGCTAGTTTATATGCTTCACAGTTAGATGGGATGTCACTCTGCACTGGAACGCATTTCAGGTTTATCGTGAAATAGGGTGTTAGATCCACTAAGATTAATAATTAAGGCATACTTTCAATCTTTTTGACGAAACCCTAGGGGACGCTAGTGATTTCAAAGCTCATTGGCTATCTGTATATATTTATAAATATATTCCTTGTAGTCATCTCCGCTTGGAAGACACTGCAGTGGTCTGGTAAACGGAAGGCAATTTTAGTATCTAATTTGGCTGAAAAGACGTCCCCTCCCACTCGAATATCCGTTTTTGACTCATCCGCATAGATGCTTATTGCTGCGTCCTTGTTCACCTCGCCCCTTTCCCATTCTTCACTGGAAGAGAAGGCAATATTGGGGACCGAATTAAGTTTCAATTCAACAGACGACCAATTAGGAAGATTCCCTTAGTCGTAGAGCTGATTTCGCTGCCAGTTGCTTACAGAACAAGTCTGTTGGCAGTAAATGTAAAATGACGGTAAGTGCCTGACTTGGCGTTTTTCTAAGAGCTCCATTGATGCATATACTAGCTGCTCTTTGTATGCATTTCATACGCCTTACCGCGTATTTCTTTTCCATCAGTGACCACCATATTAATACACCATATGTCATAATCGGTCCAACAACTGCTGTGTATAACCAATGAGCTACTCGAGGTGTTAAACTCAATTTGGACCTTACCATCCTTTTGCACGTGTTAAGTGCTGTAGCTGCTTTCTTCACCCTAGCGTCTAAGTTTGGTTTTCATGACAGCTTCCTCTCTAAAATTAGTCCTAAGCAGCTTGCCTTATCTCCTATTGTTAGTCTGGTACCACTTAATAATGGTGGCCCAACTTCTGGAGTATTGTGTTATCTAGTGAAAAATACTAGCTCCGGCTTACTAGCATTCTAACCGAAACCGCCACATCATCGGCGTGTAGGACTTTTATAGACCTAACAATAATTTGATCATTGTTAAGATCCAGGGAAGTGGAGGTAGCTCGTATCATTAAGGTCTTCCTTTTTGAACAGATCTGCACATCGTTGAAGCTCACAACATCGCAACAATTGACTTGGTCGTGAGCATATGTTCAATCAATTTTCTGAG